ACAGAGATCCTCCTGCCTCTGCCTCCCGAGTGTTGGGATTAAAGCGTGCCCCACCGCCACCCAGTGCATTATGTTCTCTTAACCACCAAGCCACCTCTCCATCCCCCCATCTATCAGTGGTCATTTTGAGGCAACACTGGACTCTCCTCAGGACCAGAGCCCTGCCCTACAGAAGTGGTGTCCTGCCAAGGCGCGGGAGGGAAGAGTCCGCAGTGGGAGAGATGAGGGGAAATGGTTGGTCCTCTCACCTCAGCCTTGCACAGTTCTCTGGTCCTTCAGGGACAAAGCAACAGTAATGGTGGCCTGGGAAGACCCTGAGAAACGGGTCCTTCTCTACATGCTGGGGCTTTAGTCACCAGGCTTGGCTTTCTTCCTGGTCCATGTGTGGTGGCTGTGGTGAACCATGGCTGTGGTGAACCAACACTGCCAGCACATTCTGGGGCACCAAACCAGAGTCTTGGCTATTGATGTAAGTGTCCAAGGCCTGGATGGCGTGTGGGTCAGCACCCAGTTGCAGAAACTATGTATGGTGATGGGACCATCTGCTGGAAACCACCACAGCACCTTCTGGTGACCACTGGCCTTCAGTGCTGCCATGCTGGCGCCATCTCCAGCCTCAGGCACCACCGATGCTGCCAGATATCAATATTATTGTGCCCGAACCCCCCAGCTGTGGAACTCACAGAGGTTTTTAGGGTCGAGTTTAGCCTGTGGGATGAAGGTGCCCAGGATGAGTGGATCTTCGGTCCCTAGTTGTACCCCGACTCCATGATAAACATTTTTACAGATGCCCACCGACAGGTAGACGGAGATGTCTGGAGATCTAGCTTGGCTTCCTATCCCACAGCCACGTTCTTTTACTTGCTAGGTTGTCAGGCTCCTGGCAGGCTTCTCCTGTAAGGCTAGACTCTGACGAATGTGAGCTCAGAAGGATGTCTGCTAAGGAGGAGACTGTGGGAACAGGGCAGGTGGGTGGTCTTTCTAGTCTTACATAACTGCCGTCTGGGTATATGCAAGTGAGGATCTAAGGGCCTTATCTGCAGGTTTCTCATTAGTGACAACACACTGGTGGGTGCTCTTCTCTCGACCATAGTTTGAAAACAACGAACTAGTCACACCCACACCTGACTTCTGCAATACAGGCCTGGGTGGGTGGGGCACACTGTGGAATTCTGTAGCAAGATCTGGGAGGAGAAACAGCCGAGCAATGTGCCTGTGCATTTGGTTGTGGAAGGGATCCTTTGTAATAAGTCTTTGTCTGTCCCGCCAGCCAGCTCCCAAATAATCACACAGAGACGTATTATTAATTATGAAAGCCCGGCCAACAGCTTAGGCTTGTTCCTAACTAGTTCTTATAACTTAAATTAACTCATTTCTATTAATGTACATGCTGCCATGTGGCTCATGGCTTGTTACCTCATCCCCTACATGTTATGCTTCCTCTCTGTCTAATTGGTGACCCCTGGTATCTCCACCCTTCATCTTCCCAGCATCCTTCATGCCTGGAAATCCTGCCTAGCTATTTATTGGTCATTCAGCCTTTTTATTAAACCAATAACAGTGACACATCTTCACAGTGTACACAAAGATTATTCCACAACAATCCTTTGTTACTTAGTTTACAATGTAAGCTTTTTTATAGAAGCATAGTATCAATGCAGAGAAGCACACAGCTCAATGACTTTCCTCCAAATTGCCTGTGTATCTAGCATCTAATCAACAAATGGAATTTTATTAGGGTCCCAGAAATGACTTCAGGATTCCTTTGAAAGGGAGAGAAATTGATCAATTCAGTATTTACTTGTTTCATTATTTGGAATATTGAGGATGGAGACATGGATGGATGGCTGAACATGTTAGGGCTTTCAGAGTCCAAGCTTGGACCTTAAAAATCTGGTAATACCATTTCTTGGTGATTCCATCCCTCCCTGTAACTCCATCATCAGGGAGTCAAGCCTTCAACAAATGAGCTTTGGATGACATTTGAGATCCAGACCATATCAGATTAGATTAGATAGCTTTCACCTCAGACACTCTGTGTGTGTGTGTGTGTGTGTGTGTGTGTGTGTGTGTGTGTGTGTGCATGTGTTTTTTTTCTCTCTCTTCTTCAGCATTAGGGATCACATCTAGAATCCTGCAGCATGGTTGGCTAGTGCTCAACCATTCAGCAATATTTTTGGCCCTGAAAACTTTTTTTAAATGGAGCTCTCTGCTCCTCAATAGTGAGATCTTGCTCTGGTATGATGTCACTCTCACATCAGGGGTGGGATCAGTCCCCTCACAGAAGTAGGCAAGCTAGCAGTCAGCATCTACTCTGCAGCTTCAAGGGTAAGTGAGTGGCCCTCGTCACGATCAACAGTAGAATCGTGGGGGGGGGGTCTTATTCTTCACTTTTCACTTTTTCATAATTTTGGTAAATATCTACAGATACAACAAAATACCTTCCCTCAAACCATTTTAGGCATACGGTTAGTGGCAGAAAGGACGTTCACCTTGCTGTGTGCCCATCACTCCCCTCTGTCTCCATATGCCTTTTATGTCCCCAAGGGAAACTCCACACTTATCAAACGATGATGTCTTACGGTTTCTATGCTGTGATGAGACACTGTGACCATGGCAACTCTTTTTTTTTTTTTTAAGATTTATTTATTATGTATACAGTGTTATGCCTGCATGCCAGAAGAGGGCACCAGATCTCATTACAGATGATTGTGAGCCACCATGTGGTTGCTGGGAATTGAACTCAGGACCTCTGGAAGGACAGCCAGTGTTCTTAACCTCTGAGCCATCTCTCCAGGCCCCATGGCAACTCTTATAAAGGAAAACATTTCATTGAGGTGGTGGCTTACAGTTTCAGAGATTTAGCCCATTATCGTCATGGCGGGGAGCATGGCGGCATGCAGGCAAGACATGGTACTGGCTACATCTTGGTCAGAAGGTAACAGGAAATGGACTGTGACACTGGAAGAAGTTTTAGCATAGGAGAACTCAAAGCACACCCCACGGTGACACACTTCCTCTAACAAGGTCATACTGCCTAATACTGCCACTCCCTTTGGGGCCCATTTTCTTTCAAACCACTACAGATGCCTAACCCCATCTTCCCCAAGCTCCTGATGACTAACATTCCGTTTTCTGTCTCCATGAGTTTGACTGATTTAGGGATCCTTTGTAAGTGGACTCATGAGTTAAGCTTGGTGGTTCAAGTCTGTAATCCCAACACTTTGGAAGCTGAGACAGGAAAGTCTCTGTGAGTTCAAGACCAGCCTGGGCTACATAGTAAGTTCCCTGCTAGCCTGTGCTATAGTGTGAGACCCCTCCTCAAGAAAAATAATTGGTCTGGGCAGTAGTGGTGAAAGCCTTTAATCCCAGCACCCAGGAGGCAGAGGCAGGCAGAGGCCATCCTGGTTACAGAGTGAGTGCCAGGACAGCCAAGGCTACGTAGAGAACCCTGTCTTGAAAACCAAACATGCAAACAAACAAACAAACAAAATAATTGAAATCACATGGAAGTTATCCCTTTGAGTCTTTAGGAGAAGTCTAAAGCATAAATATTTAAATCTAATCCTAGGCCAATCAAATGAGCATTTTGGAGGGTGAATCCCAAACACTGGTCGTATTATTAAAAGCTCCCAGCAATTCTAATGAACGTCCATGGAAACCAGTGGGCTGAAGGGTTTGAGTCAGATTTACTTCAGGGACTCTCTTGTAATTGGACATTTCTCTCCTGCCCTCTTGTTCCCAAATACCTGGCAGCCACTTCCCAAATAACTGACTGGGAGGCTTAATATTACTTATAAATGTTTGGCTGATAGCTCAGGCTTCTTATAGCTAAATCTTACACTTATATCAACCCATATTTCTATTTATGCTTTGCCACATAGCTCATGGCTTGTTACTTCATTTTCTACATGTCCTGCTGGCCTGGTGGCTGTGGCAGCTGGCTTGCGTCTCCGCTGATTTGGCCCTCCTTCTTCCCATCATTCTCAGTTTGGCTTTCCCGCCTAACTTCCTGCCCAGCTACCGGCCTGTCAGCTTTTTATTAATCAGTGAGAGTAATCCATATTCATAGTGTAGAAAAGGATTGCTCCACAGCAGTCCCTCACGATCACAATCACGCCCCAGCACCTGATAACAGGTGCCCTACCGTCTCTCATCTGAGGGTGATCCTGCCACATGTTGGATTGCTTATTATAGCAACAGTTGCGATTTGACCACACTGTCTCTCCCAGGCTTGTGATTTGAACACTTACTCCCTGCTTGCTGTCTTAGTAGACTGTGGAAACCTTAAGAGGTCTACTTGGCTGGCAAAAGTAGGGGGCGGGTTCTGCCATGTCTCCTGCGGTCTACCTGCTCCCTGGTTCACTGAAATGGGAATGGTCTCTGCCACAGACTCCTGCTACTGAGATCTGAGCTGCTCAGCCAGGCTCCCCCACCACAGTGGGATCAGCCCTCTGAAGCCCAGAAGCAAAATAAATCTCGCCTCCCTTAAGGCGCTTCTTTCAGAAATTATGAAAGAGAGATTCGAAAGTAAATAATATGAACAACTCCGTGGTAATAAAACTCCGTTCTGTCTCCCTCGCCATGGGATTCAATAATAAAGCGACATGGAATGGGTCTTAAACAAAAGGTGTCTCTTCTTATAAAGTCATTCATGGATTTAACTGTGTGTGTGTGTGTGTGCGTGCCTGTTTGGGAGTGTCCTAGAAGGCCAGAAGAGGGTATCAGATCCCATGGAGCTGAAGTCACAGGCAGTTGTGAATTGCCTCAGGTGGGTGCTAGAGACCAAACTCAGGTCCTCTGTGAGAGAAGAAAAAGCTCCTGACCACTGAGGCCATTTCTCCATTTCCCTTGTTGGAGGATTTAAATGAGAAAAAGAGTTCTCCTAAGCCTAGCACCAGCTGTCAGCAGCAGAGACAGCCCACCGGCCCTCTGTTAAAGCCCCTTCATTCTTTCCCTGCCTCTCTCTGTGGAGCTGGAGCCTGGGCATTAATGGGAGGAAAGGCAAACCCAGTCTGCAGTGCTGGCCAGCCCCATGACACAGAAGCTGCAATCCCAGCTCCAGCAAACTTCAGTCAGGAGCACTGCAAGATGACTGAAAACCACCTTGCTTAGAGCCCCGCCCTGGGAGGGGCTCAGACATCTGCGATGAGGATATTCTTGCATGTGGGTGGCAGGGCCAGGAAGCTGGAGGCTCTGATAATCTCTTGTGTGGCTTTTGAGGACAGCCAGTACTTCATCTGCTGGCTCTGGTCTTGTCCGACTCCACACACACAAAAGCCATGGGAACCCTGGAGGGACACCTGCTGCCAGGAGTGGGCCTCCTCCTCTTCTCATTCTACTACTCGGCCCTGACATCCTTGGCCCTGCTACGGGGACAGAAGGTCCTCAAGCACCCCCTGCTCCCAGGGAAGCTGCGGGGACACAGGCTGTCTCGGCAGGTATCGTATGAAGCCGTGGTGAAGGTGCTCGTCCCCACCTGTGGCATTATCGGTGAATATTTCTACCCCCTCGGGGTGAATCGCGTGCAGATGATAGACTGGAAGGACCCTCGGCGGCCATTTGTCTTCAAGGACAACTGGCAGCATGTGACCATGTTTGGGTTCTTTATTCTCAGTGGCGTGGTGGACATGGTGAGCCAGGCACACCTGGGCCGCTGGGGTGTGAAGCTGGAGCGTGCAGCCGAGGCGTTGGCTTTCTATGTGCTGATCATGCTGATGGTAACCCACATTGAGAACAAAAGCTCCTTGGAGATCCGAGTACACCTTCTGCTAATGATACCCTCCTTCTTCCTTGCCCTGGTGCTCACTGTGGAGGTCTGGGTCCCCAACCATCCTCCAATCTGGATCCTCAAGTGTTGGCTGGGGCTGGTGTTAAGCAGCTGGATGTTGCAGATCTGTGAGATGTATATACCTCTTACTGGACAGCCCTGGAGGGCAGACGACCCCATGGATCACGCATTCCTAACCATCTTCTTCTGCTGGCACCTGGTCTTGGCGGCTGCCCTGTTCCTGGCCACCTATGGCCTCTGCAGTCTCTGGCACAGTCACTATTCTTCCTGGACAAAGACTCCTGGTGCTAGGTACCAGCGGTGCCCGATGGAATCCAGTGGTGAGGAGCTAGAGAAACTCAAGGCAGAGGCCCTGCCACAGGATGAAGTCGTGTAGGAACAGAAGCTGTCGGGAGTGCTGTATGCACAACCTGGGATGCACAGCATAGCTTCCCACCCCAGGACTAGCTTCTTCTCCCTAAATAAAACTTCTAGCTCCAAGGATGACTTCTTGATTGTTACTTTGTGCTGTCCAGGTCAGTGTCTTACCTGTTTCCTTATCTATATGGTTTCTGGTCATTCGAATACGAAGAACAAAACAGCGCTTGTCTGTAATAGCTCTGGGTAGCTTTTCATATATATAAACTTGAACTGAGTATGTCTGCTGACTACTGAGAAGGGGATGAAGAACTTGGTTGTATTGAGAAGGGATTCAGGCAGTTTACCAAGGGTTCAAGTCAGGAATGAGAAGAGTCCGGGCAGGAATTCTCAAAAGTGGTTGTAATAAGGTGATTAAAACATAATTTTAGGACTGGTGAGATGGCTCAGTGGGTAGAGGCACCTGCCAAAACCCTGGGGACCTGAGACCCATCCCTGGGACCCACAGTGTAGAAGGGGAGACGTGACTCTTGAAAGCTGTCCTCTGATAAGTGTGTGGTGCACATGCCATCACACACACTAACAATAATAAGATGCGATTAAAATGTTTTCACAAATTTAAGGGCTGGGGATGTATCTCACAGGTAGAGTGTGTGTGTGCCTAGCATGCCTGGGGCCTTGGGTTCAATTGCCAGCCGTGCAAAATCAAAAAGCAAACAAATGTTTTGAAGTGCCTTGTTTTGGCTATGATACAAAACGACTTGTTCCTACTCCTTCGGAAAGTCTATTGAGTGTGTTATGTCCTATGTGCGTGCTTCTGGGAGAGACTGAAGAAAAGACTACATCTTACTTGAGAATGGGGTCAGGGGAGAAATAGCCCTGAGGTAGGGGTGGGTACCAATGATCTCTATGGACATCTCCAAATGAGATGCAGCCACTCAACATCTGGAAGTCTGAAGGAATGGCAGGATGGGAGGAGGAGGTGGCAGGCATGTGGAGAAAGGATAACGGAGACAAGTGGGCACGGTGAGACTGCTGCATTTACAGTCCCCATACAGCCAGGGATGCTCTTCTTGAAGGACGGAACACTTCGAGAAGCTTAGAGGTTTGCAGAGAGCAGACAAGGCAGCCGTTTTAAAATGCCATAGGCACCCGGTGATATGCAGTGGATCTGCAGAGCAGCAGAGGCTAGCAGAGGGGCCTGTCCTCCGGGAGCAGCAGGCTTCAGGCCTCTTCCCTCACACCCCACACCTTCTCTCCCCCACATAGCGGGAACCAACCCAAGCCCAAAGCCCCAGAACCTGATTCTCTCTGAGACTAAGAAAACTTAAGGTTTGAGATTCCTCATGTTATACACTGTGTTCATGAGCCTGGGGGCAGCGTTCATATTATCCTTGATAGTTTGTATATCATGGGACATTCACCAAAGTGAGAATTTAAAGGTTTTTTTTTTTTTCTCTAAAAAACTCTTTTCAAAGTTGCATAAGCTTTGTACTCTGCAGAACCTGGCTCTGCCTCACCCAGCAGGCTTAACACGGGCATGCGGTCAGGGCGTGTCAGAGAAACCCGTCTCTTCTGGATTGACAGCACATTCTTCGTAAGAGAGCAGTGTTAAAACTTGTCCATATGCAGCCTGAAAGCAAAAGCTTAGGACGTGAATTGCATTACACACCAGTTGAATGTCACACCAGAGTCCCTTGCTAAAGTATAATTCCCAGGTCAACACATGTAAATGAGGGACCTGGGCAGTAGCTGAAGGGTTATGTGCTTGCCTGGTATGTCAGGAAGCCCTGGGTTCTAGCACCACACTAGCATCACACACACAGACAAAGGTGTTAGCAGATCCTAAGCCAGGTTTAGAAAAGGGAATTAGAGTTAAGAGAAGATGGATCCGGAGCAGGGGCAGCCATAGTTTACACAGATCAGCTACTTGCCTCCCTGTGCACAGTGTGGAATTTGTCTGCACATCTGGACCTTTCAGAGCACACCAGTCACCGTTCTCCAAAGAAAACAGGATGTTGAGATGGATAGACAGACAGACAGCAAAGCATGTCCAAAATCTGCAGGACAGGACAGTAGGACAGAGGTCAGGGGCAAGCTGAGGCCTCATTTTTGAGTTCCTAAGTTTTGTACCAATAAAGACCGTCCAGCAGGGTGTTAGTCTTTTCTGGGACCTTCAGTGGCTGCATGAATGAACCTGTGCTCACTGTAAAGGGCGACCTTTTCATTCAAATGGTGTTTTAAATGTTAATCACACCCCCAAAATACCATCGCTGTAACTTCTACAAGGATAATGTGACCGAACAACTAGATAATAAACCTAGCCCAGATGACATAAGATCAACTGTCACACCCAGCACATCAGAACATTACCACTCACTCGGACATGGTTTTTATTAGCTTGTAATTTCTGGAGACTTTTCAAAATAACAATACTAATTTCATTTTAGAGGAATTTCATCATTAAGGCTCTGATTAGTGTATTAATGTACATGTAAACTGACCTGGAGTTTGGTTCCAAGCTTTTTCTAGTGGGGAAGGGCTTATAGATAGGCAACAGTTACCTTTTTTGTATGTGTGGTTTCTTGAGACAGGGTTTCTTTATGTAACAGCTCTGGCTGTCCTGGAACTCACTCTGTAGACCAGGCTGGCCTTGAACTCACAGAGTACGCCTGCCTCTGCCTCCTGAGTGCTGGGATTAAAGGCGGGCGCCACCATGTCCAGCTGACATGATACCTTTAAAGAATAAGAATCAATGTCCAAGGGATTTTTAAAAATTATTAGTGCACTGTGCACACATAAATTTATTACTATACATTTTACATTTTGGACATCTTAGAAAATGTTGAAAAGTATTTTGAAACTTAAACCCAATGCCATAATCCCAAACGAATTATTGCCAAGAGGGCTAGATGGGTGGATGACAGGGCTTTCTGGTTGACAACTCAGATCATGCTTGGTGACTAAGACAAGATAAATAATCAAGAGGCTTAGAGGCAAAGGTCCTAAAGATGAGGAAACCAAGAGTGGAAATCTAGCATTGTGGGAGGAGATTGAGAAAGGATACCCACAATACGAAGAGATGACAGCTCTGACTTGGGCAACCCCGGAGTCTTTGTCCTCAGTGAGTTCTCAGAGGTCACGTTTTGGCATCGAGAAGGGTAAGAAAGAAGGCGCTAAGGTTAATGTGACCTTTACAGGGGAGATTGTCAGGGTTAAAGCAGGTGAGTAAGGAACACTCAAAGGCAGCTGTAGGGATTCGCACCTGTAATCCCAGAGGACCAGCAACTGAGGCCACTCTAGGCTATGGGAACTCCTGTTTCGAATGCAAGAAGCCAGGGAGATGACTCGCTGTGCTCTGCAAGCTCGGGGCCCGAGTTTGAACCCTCAGCACACAGGTAAGTAGACATGGCTGTGTATGCCTGCAACCCCAGCACTCGGGGGCAAAGGCAGCAGACCTCACCGGCCAGACAGCCAACAGGAACAGTGAGCTTCTGGTTCAGTGGGAACCCTGTTTCAGGACAATAATGTGGAGAGTGACAGAGCAAGACACCCAGTGTTGTGTTCTGACGTCTGCATGGGCACAGGTGGGCACACTTGGGCACGGACACACACACACACACACACACACACACACACACACACACAAAGTAAAAACTGAGACCAGTTAAGTTTAACAAAGTACACTGAAAAAAAGAGGCTAGAGCCAGGCAGCATTCCAGACCAAAGATGTTCCAGGATGTCCCCTCTCACCGTAGGTTACATTTATAGGCAGAGAATAGGAAATGACACACAGAAACAACCTGGTGGAGACTGGGTTCAGTCAGTGAAGTGCCTGCCCTGGAACTCTGAGAACCGCAATTCAGAGCCTCAGCATCCGCAGAGAAGCCGGGCATGGCAGCACACATCTGTAAGCCCAGAACTGAAGGGAGAGAGGAGTGGATTCCTAGAGGGAAGTCCCGTCAGGGAGCCTAGTCAGGGGGCATGCTTTGGGTTAAGTGAGAGACCCCATCTCAGAAACTCACTTGTGGACAACGAGTAAGACACTTGGAGATTCTGGCCTTTACATGCGTATCTGTAGGAACACACCCACACAGTCACATATGTATTTTATATACGTGTTACAAACACTCCGCTCCGCCCACCCTCAAGAAGGTAATAGCCTCATTGGCGGCAATTGTCACTTACTTCATATGGTTGTATTTTAAACATTTTTTTACATTTACTTACTGATTTGTGTGTGTGCGCGCGTGTGTGCACGCGCGTGCATACACATGTGCACAAATAGGTGCCATGGTGTGCACATGAAGGACAGAGGACAGCTTTTGGGGGGTGGTTCCTGGGAATCAGCTCTCTCTTTCCACTGTGTGAGTCTTAGTATTGAACTCAAGTCATTAGGCTTGGTGGCAGGCACTTTTATCCACTAAGCCGTATCATAGGCCCCATGCATAGGCATATTTGGGCAGCTTTTAGCCTCTGATTGGCTGAAGTTCAGCTGCTATGATTGGCTAAGATCAAGTTACTTGGTTACAGACCTAGAGTCAGGTTGTCACAGTTTATTTACAGATCAAATTGGGTTTGCTTTTAATATATAGGGCGGTTATTTTAGGTCAAGTTTACCATCTACCTACATTTAAAGGCCAAATTTATTTGGGTTTCTCAATACCTACCCGCGTGACAGTTAATGTTCAATTTGACTGCATTTGGAATCCCTAAAAGGCACACACTTCCAGGCATGTCCATGAGGGTATTCCTAGAGAGATTTTTAACCAAAGAGTAAAGACTTATCCTGAATGTGGGCAGCACCGTCCAGTGAACTGAGATCTTATCCTGAATTTAAAGGGGAAGAGGAGAAAGTGTGAACAGCAGCATTTGCCTCTTTACAAAAGCAGAACTATGATTTGAAATCTGCAGCAACCCAACCCAGTGAGTCATCTGCTGCCCCCAGAGCCAGTGCCAGGAGTTAACCCACTACCCACAGTAGTTGGCACAGGAAATCAGCCTGTAGTCACCAGTCCAGAAGGTTACCAGCTACCTAAGGTAGTGGACCAGGAAGTCAGCGTGCTATCTAAATTCTAGACAAGATGTAGATGTTAGTTATTTTGGATAACTAGTCCT